AGTTGTTGCAGCTCTACATTCATCCCCGATATCTGGGGACAAATTATGTCCCCGGGAACATAAAATAAAACATTTTTTTTAATACTTACCTGATCCCTGGATCCACCAACAAACGCAGCCTCCCGTCTCCCACGCTGTCAGAAGCTTGCGCACACTGTGTGCAGCTTCTGAGAAAATACGCTATTAGCGTAGCAAGGAAGCTGGCTGCGCATTTTGCATATTGGGAGATGTTTGATATTTAACCACTTGCTGTCCGGAGCATTTTCTTACTATTTGCGCACACATGATATAATATACATTTTTGGCTAGAAAACAGCTTCAAAGCCCCAAAACAATGATATACAGTATGTTCTGAAAGCAGAGGCCCTGTAGAGCCGTGTAGAATAAAAAAATGCTAGTTGCAATTTTTTATGTCGCACGGTTTTTGCGCAAATGTTTATCAAATCGGTATTTTTAGGAAAAGATAAACTAAATAAAAATTTAGTGCACAGAAACATAATATAATATAATACCCAATTTTTTGGTAAAATATGAAAGATGAGGTCACGTTGGGTAAATAGATAACAAACATGCCTTAAAATTACGTCCGCCCGTGAAGTTGCAAAAAACGCTAATACCCAAAATCTCCCATTTTTTAAAGGGAACACTTTAAACGCTTTTACCACTCATCAGTTTAGTGCCAGTCCTGGGCGCCGCACAAGGACAGCGGAGCCCGGGGAAACCCACGTCGTCCCCCTGGAGGGGGACGGGAGGGGGCCGCGCGGTACAAATGATTCAGCGGCTGTACAGGCGCCGGGTCACTTGCACATTAAAGGAGAACTATGAGGCGAGTTCTAGCCGATCTGTGACAATGAAACTGCCAAAGGTCGGCTCAATAGATTGGGAAGTGAGCGAACACATACCGTTGCACGCTCACTTCTCGATCCTGTTCCTGCAGAGAGCCGTGACTGTCCCTCACGACTCTCTGCAGGGATTCCCCCCCTCCTCTGTCCGGTCCTCCAGCGCTGAATGGCGGAACGGATGGGGGAGGGGGCGGGTACAGCTGGCTCTGCCTCTAGATAGGCAGAGACAGCTGTCACTCACGCAGCTGGGTGGATCCGGACAGTAATGTCGAGATCCATCCCGGTTGCGGCATCTCAGTATACCGCGAGCTGTAGCTCTCGGTATACTGAGCTTTGTGTGACGGGAGGACGCTAGTTTGTGTCCTCCCGTTACCCTTAGAAGAACTATGGGGAAAAGCCCTGGCCCCATAGTTCTCCTTTAACAGCCATTGCTGGCTGTTAAAAACGACACCAAGAACTTGTTCTTGTTTTAACCACTTCTGCGGGTCGCCGTTTATAGACATATTGCGGCCCAGAAGTGGTTGACCACTTGGTGACCGGGGTGTTTACATCACTTGCTGGCCAGGCCATTTTTCAGTATTCAGCGCTGCAGTACTTTGACTGACATTTATTTCATCATACAACGCTGTACTGAAATTAATTTTATATCATTTTTAGGGGACAGATAGAGCTTTCTTTTGGTGGTATTTAATCACCACTGGGTTTTAATTTTTTACTACTATAACTAAAAAAGTACCGAAAAAAAACAAAAAACTGTTTCCCTTTATTATATTAGGAAACATTTATTATTACCCAATTGATAAAATATAAAAAACGTATTCATCTTGGGTAAAAAGACACCAAACATGTCAAGCCTTAAAAATGTGCACGCCCACGAAATCGCAAAAAAAACTACTACACCCAAAATTGGCCATAGGCGACGCTTTAAAAGCTTTTACTGCTCATCAATTTAGTGTTAACAGTGATTGGAGGACCTAGAATTATTGCTCACACTCTGATGGTCGGAATAATATGTAACATGTGCGGCGTAATGGGCGCAATTGTAGTTTTTGCGTGTATGTTTTGTGACCAATTTTTTTTCTACTTTTTTTTTTGACACTTAACTTTACTGTTATCACATAGAAGGATAATAAGTCCTCTATGTGATATGAACTTACAATGGCAGACATCAGGGGTCGCTAAGGCCCCTAATATCACCTAGGGACCCCCAAAGAAGTTGATGAAACAGAGATCTGCTTCACCAGCTTCCCTCCAGCTTCTGTAGCCAGAGTGACAGCTGAATGCAAAAGTGATGTAATAAACATCACTTCCGCACTCACAGAACAGAGGTGATTGGAAGGAGATTGTGTACTGATCTCTCTCCGTACTCCCTCCCACCTGGATCGGACGCTTGGGATTGCGTCAACGGCGGTGATGACGGCCGGTAAGGAGAGAGGGGGGGGAGGGGCCGCACAGAAATGTACCTCATACAAGCGATCGGGGGTCTTTACCCACCACACTCAGAACCGCTGCTCCATGAGATAGAAGTGGGTGCAGCAGGTGTCAACGGGTCTCTTCCGTCAAAGTATAAGTAAAAGATAGACACCGGCACTCTAAAGCAAATCCAGTATGTCTATTTATTCACGTACTTGTTGCAAATGCAAAACACAAGATACAACGTTTCGGGGTCTCACAGGATTCCCTTTATCAGGCAAACAAGTGATTACAGACGCTGGACCGCTTGTATGTAAGCAGCCATCGCTGGCTGTTTAAAATTTTGGCAGTTTCCCACTCGTGCACACCAGGGAGCATATGTACGGGCACGAGGGACATTTTACGACGCCCACCCGCTGCCAGAAGGCTCCCGTCCGGCCGTTTTCTCTACGTTCGGCGGACAGGAGGTGGTTAAGATCGCAGTACTACCTGCATATGTTTTGCTGTTTTTGCATGCTCACCACACTGCTGAGGGAACCTTTACTTGCACCTGTGCGATTCAAGTCCTATAGATTCAGCACAGTTGGCTGGACCTTTATTTTGCCCCTGGCAGTTACTGAGTCCCGTGGGATCTAGGACAGCATAAGCCAAGCCATGAGGATAAGTAAATTAACTTTATGCTGGATATGTTGCTGTGATGAACTATGCCAGTTTGTGACATTCCTAAAAAAGACCTATCCAGGGTTTCTGCTGATGAGAACAGTCTGTATTGATCCCTGTGACATAACACCGATCAGGGTGGACAGAACACCTGTCAGGTTTTTATTGCCTTCTGTGTCCCCATTAGGGAGATTCACCCTCTCTATAAGTCCTAGTGACTGTTATCACTGAAAGTCAAAGAAAAGTAAAAATGTTTAATTGTCATCAGAACGGAAAGGGATGGGAAATCTTCCAATAGGGGCACTAATTCTGGTGGCCCTGCTGACCACCAGGGATTTTCCTTTCTTTGGAGGGAAATCCTCTCACTTCCTGTTGAGGCTATTGGAAAGAAAGCAAAGGGAAGTTTCCCCAATGGAACACAGATATCAAGTAAAAAGCTGACAGGCGTTAAAAACTGCCCCTTACTCTATCCAAAACAAAAATAAAAATCTGTAGCTTTAGTTCTACTTTAAGTGCAACAACTTCTTCACAGGAGAAGCTGAATTAGCTCTTTGACACTTGCAGCAGCAAAGTGCACTGAATTGTAGTTTTTATCAACCAAATATTATGTTGCTATAAGAATTTTTTAACTATGAAAAATTGTATTTAATGAGAATATTTGCTTATTACCACTTGCTACATATTTCTATAGGTTACTCATTGGGGCTACATTTTTGAGGGGTTCCAGGATAGCCTACAGTGCTGTAATTTTAATATAACATTGTCCATTTTAAAGTTTTCCTTTTTTTGGGATTGCAACAGAGGGGAGTTATTTAAACCTTTATGTATACATGTTTGTCATTGCATTTTTGTGTAACTAATAAAACATACATATAAAAGTGACAGGTTCTTTAACCTTGCCCCCCCCCCCCTTTTTTTTTGGTGTACTTATATTTGGTTATGAGTTGGCACCCATCACTACAGATTATGTGGAATCTGTTCCCTAGCAGGCTATCCCCCTTCAGTCTAAATGCTGCTGCCAGACTCATCTGCCTTACCAACTGTTCAGTGTCCGCCAATCTCTCTACTGGCTCCCACTTGCCCAATGAATAATAAATCAAAATACTACCAATAACTTACATAGCCATTTACAACTCTGCCCCAAACTACATCACCAACCTCATCTCAAAATGTCACCCAAACCATCCTCTGCTCCTCACAAGGTATCCTGCTCTCCAGCTCCCTCATTACCTCCCCTCATGCTCACCTCCAGGACTTCTCTAGAGCCTCTTCCATCCTCTGGAACTCCCTACCCCAATCTGTCCAATTATCTCCTACTCTGTCCACCTTTAGGGGATCCTTGACAACTCATCTCTTCAGGGAAGCCTATCCCACCTCAACATAATAACTGTCCTTTTAATTCTTCCCTAAGCTCATCCCACACAATTATTACCTTTTGTATCACTTGTACCTTTTGCTAGATTGTAAGCTCTGGAGAGCAGTGCCCTCCTAACCTTCCTGTATTGAAATTGTATTGTAACTGTATTGCCTTCCTCCATTTTGTTAAGCACTGTGGCTGCATACTGTTGGCACTATATAAATCCTGTATAATAATAAGTGAGTATGCCCCTGAAACCAGAATGTTTTGGTGACTAAAGCAAGAACATATCCCTCTCAGGAAGTTAAAAGTGGCTGTAGGAAGTGAGTAAAATGCAGGTGTGAGTGCCAGCAGGCAGGACAAATGAAGTTTCATAAAATACTTTCAATGTATATACCTGACCTGTGGAGGACTGTTTTTTTTTCTCTGCAAAAGTGTAAAAAACCCTTTAAAGGAAACCTGTACTGAGAGGATAATGCCCTGTTACCTGGCTACCTCAATGCTCCAATGGCTTTAATACTTTTTGAGGCACTGACCTGCAAGAAGTAAGCAGATCAGGAGTTTTGAATTCTCTCTTTCTCATCTGTCATCAGCTCAATGACTCTTTAAGTATTGAAGCAAAAGATAGCCAATCAACAAGGATTTTTGAAATAAGGGCAGCAGTGACAGCCCTTGTTTTTCTCCCAGTACAGATTTCCTTTTAATGTGTTTTCTGTTGTAAAACTTACAGTTTGGTGACAAAATTCCTCCTGTTTCTCGACATCCAGAATACCCAGATATGGCAGAGGCAGAAGTGGCAGAAAAGGCTGAGCTAGAGAAGCCTGATGTGTGCGTGTCTGGGCTAATGCAGCGTGGTCCTGTACCAAAACCATTGCAGTTCTCATATGTTCCAGATGATTGAGGGCTCTGGGCAACACACGTGGTACCTCCGCTTCCCAGAGAAGAGTCTGTACCCTCATTGTTTGCAGGCACTGAAGGGATAGGATCTATTGTGGAAAAAAAAACATTGTCAGTGACAATACAAAGGCATGGCTTTATATTGGCTGATTTGGGCTTTCCAACAAGAAGAATCACATTAATCATATGAGGACAGAGAGAGGCATACTGTTCTATGTTACTAATATAACTGTCCACTTAACGAACCACTTTTTTTTTACATAACATAGAAAGAAATTAGCTGAAAGTAAGTACTTTGAATGATTAAACTTGGAAGCAGTATTCTTGCATTTTATAGTAAGAAAGGTATATACATTTATTTATTATGGGTATTTATATAGCACCAACAATTTAAACAGCGCTTTACATAGTTGCACCTGCACATCAGTCCCTGCCCTCAAGGAGCTTACAACCTAAGGTCCCTATCTCACATGCATACATATGAGGGCCAATTTAGAAAGGAGCCAATTAACCTTCCAGCATGTCTTTGGACTGTGGGAGGAAAGCACAGAGAGAACATGCAAACTCTTTGGAGATAGTGTCCTGACTGGGATTTGAACCAGGCACCCTTAGTGCTGTAAGGCAGAAGTGGTCCACTGTGCTCCTTATATAATAACATGTATCATTGTACACAGTGGGGACTACTGTATATAGGTAAGAAAGAAATACTTAAGGGACACCAGTAGAGTTCACTCATGAAGAGCTACAAGAGCAAGACCCTCTCTATCTTGTTCTGTCCATCACACATTACCAATCATTAACTCCCCAGTGGAGCAATAGCAAAATCCAAAGCCCTCAACTGCGCCAATTCTTGCCACAGCTCTTTCCTTGGCCCGCAGTCCACAGGCTCTCCCTACTACCATCTAGCTGGCAGATCACACACCAACATTACCACTAGGGATGTCCCGATACCACTTTTTCAAGACCAAGTACAAGTACTGTCCCTCCTGTACTTGCCGATACCAATTACCGATACTTTTTCTTAACCCCTTCATGACTGAGGCCCTTTTTTCCATTTTTGCACCCATGTTATATTCCACATTTTAGGCCTGAAAATGACGTAAAACCCCCCAACATTATATATTTTCTGAATGCCAAGACCCTATAGAATAAAATGGTGGTAGTTGAAAATTTTTATGTTGCGCAATATTAGCGCAACTCCTTATTAAACCCCAAAATTTAGTGACAAATTTAATTAAATGCCCCAAAACACAACAAATTACCCATTTTTTTAATGAAATATAAAAGATGAGGTTACAACGAGTAAAACGATACCCAACATGCCCATTTTACAGATTGCGTGCGACCGTGAAACGGCGAAAAACTGCAGTACCCCAAAAAATCAATAAAAGACACTTTAAAAGCCCCCACAGGTCATCAATTTAGATTAAAAAAAAACCCTACAGCCACCAATCTCTTTCATACGACCTGTTCCTGATTTCAGTCACGTCTCGCTCTTTCCACACGATCCTTTTCTTCTCAGTCCTGCTCCCTCTGCCACAGCTTGCACTCTCTCACTTTTCTTCTTCAGTCACTTCTCCTCTCTTGCAGCTGGAACACTCGTCCTTCAATTTGTTCGTGTGCACCGCACACCGCACACTCTGGCCTCCCGCTCGGCCCCCCAACCTCTGGTCCCACACACCCTTGCGTCTCCTTGTCCGTCTGTCCGTACCGCTTTTAGGTCCCTTCCTCCGGTCCGGTCTCCCGCCTTCAGGTCCCGTCCTCCGGTCCGGTCTCCCGCCTTCAGGTCCCGTCCTCCGGTCCCGATGTCTGGTCCGCCCCTCACCGGATCGGCCATTGCATGGATCCTCTCCTCTCTCTCGTGTCCCTCCGGTCCTGAATCTCCGGTCCCGCACCGCACCGGCTCCCTGCGTGCGCTTACTGCACGACTTCCAGTTCACAGGTCACAGCACCTGACAGCACCTCAGCACCGCCTCGTCCTTGTTACAAAGTCCTTGTAACAAGTCATGAAAATCTGTGATGAAAATGTTTGCTTTTGGTGATGTATCTCAGTGACAGATGTCGGTGCTCCTTATGTGATATATTTATAAAATCTGCACTCATGGGTGGAAATGGAGTGTAATCAAAAGCTGCTCCTTATGTGTTTAATAATATTGCCCTCACCAGACGTACACAGAAGTTTTCCCTCTAATTCAATACACCTAGGTGTGAACCCAGCCTAAATGAAAGAAGAGAAGGCTGATTCTGTGTGAAGGCAAGATTTACAGCTTCTCCCCTCTCCTCCCCTTGAGCACACCGAACGGACATTCTCTTCTTTCAATGAGAGTGAAAACTGCAGCGTACGTCGGGTGACTGCATTACACATAAGGAGCACGGACATCTCACACTTTGTGATATATTACCAAAAGCAAACAGTTTTACCGCGTTGAAAAGGAGGGGACACGGAGGAGCAGCAGCTAATGTACAGGGGCGAGGGGGGCAGCGGAGGAACTCACAGCCGGAGTCTCTTCTCTCTTCTTGTGCTGGCTACAGAGGTCTGTGAAAGGGACACAGAACTCTGAAGCCAGCACCAGCATGGAGAAGAGACTGTCCACACATAACACTTACCGCCCGCCATGCTGTCACACTTCCGTCCGAAGAGGTCAGAGCGGAGAGGGAGCCTGCATTTGGTGTAGAGGTTTTACGGGGGAGGGCTATGTGGGTCAATGGCCGAAGCTAGTTAAAAAAAAAATGTAAAGGGCCGGTATCTGATCTATGCATCGGGGGATTTCTTTGACTTCATGTATAAAGTCGTAGATTCACCCTTAACTGAAGTGGGCCACTCCCTCACCTGTACTCCCATAAACCTTTCCTACAGCCATGGGTAGACCATAACCCTTGAGGTGTTGCTTTAGCAACCTCTTTTTCCTCTGCCTCCTGCAATGCCCTTTCAACTCATTCATCACATAAAACACAAACAAATCACCATCATGTGTGCCTCCCCATGTTGCTTTGCAAGCCTTGTGTTGACACCCAGGAAGGGTTGTCCACCTTAGTTAAAGTTATACAAGTATTTTTTATCTTACCTAGGCCAGCTACCTTGTGCGACTAACCCCCACCCCCAGCATCTGCATTGGGCACTGCCCCCTCCCAACATGTGCTTTACATGTTTCACATGTAAATATGAAGAAATAATTAGTGGATTAAACATTTGGAACTGTACTAAAATATAGCTTAAATAACAATACAAATGAATACATAAAATCTCAAAATTAATACAAAAAGTAAACATGTCCGCAGAGCATACTAACAAGTATACATGTGCATTCCATATATGCATTTTTGGAATTGTGGATGCGTCCGAATGCCCAAAGGAAAAAAATAACGAGTTGCACAAATTTTTGATAACGAAAATTCGGATGCATCAAATGTCATTGAAAATGAAATGTTAATTTTTTTTAAAAAAACAACATGGGCTTGGCTCTTTAAACAAGCCCCCTGCCACCATACCAGGCCACATGCCTCAACATGGGGAGGGGGATTTGCCAGGGGGGGGGGGGTCCATGTTGATGAGAACATGGACCCACTTGGCATGGATTCCCCACAACCCTGGTGTCAGGAAGTCCATGCCAAGGGAGTTGCACATGCACTACTATGATCCTTTGGTGAACCTCCTGATCTTGGCTCGTTTTTGGACTACGCTTCTGCCTCCTGTCTTGTACTACATTGCCCGCACGGTTCTGACCTTGGCCAAGGAGGTACCAGGACAGCAGGCAAGATTATGGTCTGGTACCTTGGATGCATGTTGCCAACCTGGTCTGTCTGACGTTGAGTCTTCTAGCCCTGCTTCCTCGCTGTGCATTCCTGTTCAACAATTCAGCGAAGCTCCTGCAAGTTCAACTTCCTTCAGCAAGACCTGTTTAATGCACTCATGCTCCAGCTCACCTGAGCCGCTATTCAGGGGTCCTGGGACTGGAGTTGCAAGAGAGGCCGTCTTCATCACCTCAAGCTTCAAAAGGTACGTGACAGTAGTACTCAGCCATTTGGAGCTTGAAAAAGTGGGTTACATCATGGAAGAACTCTGTTAACAGGGTAATTGTGGAGACACTGGGTAATAGTTATTATAATGTGATTACTTTCAATATTGGACACAGGAAAGGGAAGCGGGCTGGTCGGACAAGAACCCTAAATTTCAGAAGGACTAACTTTGATAAACTGCGCCACCTAGTGGGGGACATCAAATGGGAAAACTTATTTCACAAACTGAAATCGGACCAAAAGTGGGAATGTTTTAAAAACACATTATATATTGCCATTGCCAAGTGTATACCGTTAGGTAATAAAAGTAAAATATCGCAAACGAAGCCTGTATGGCTAAATAAAAATGTAAAGCAACATATCAAGGAAAAGTGAGTGGCATTTAGAAAATATAAGATGGAGGGGACGACATTGGTGTTTTATAACTATAAAGAATGGAATAAAATATGCAAACAAGTAATCAGGGCAGCTAAAATAGAGTGTGAAAAACACATCACCACAGTTAGTTAAAAAAAAAAAATTGCCAATACATAAACAGTAAAAGGGGAGAAAGGAGCACATAGGCCCAATAAAGGATGAAAACGGGAAGTTAGTCACAAATGACAAGGAGAGGGCCGAGGTGCTGAACACTTTTTTCTCCTCACTCACGAAAAAGACGGGTTTAATGTTGAAGATAAAACACACAGTTCAACAAAAAATATACCGCAGTGGCTGACGGAAACCGGGATACAACAAAGACTTAAGCTACTTAATGCAAATAAAGCATTGGGACCAGATAACCTGCACCCCAAGGTACTTAAGGAACTAAGCGAGGTTATAACAAGACCATTATTCCTAATTTTTAAGGACTCTTTAATGACTGGTAGAGTTCCGAGTGACTGGCGGAGGGCTACGGTAGTTCCAATATTCAAAAAGGGGGCAAGATGCCAACATGGGAACTACAGACCAGTTAGTCTTACATCGGTAGTTTGAGTTAGAGGGAATGATTAAGGACTATTTGTTTGAATTAGTTCAGGATAACGGTATAGTTAATGATAACCAGCATGGGTTTAGGAAAGACCGTTCCTGTCAGACTAACCTGCTAACTTTCTACGAGGGGGTAAGTAGAGATCTGGATGGAGGGAGGTCTGTGGATGTGGTATATCTGGATTTCTCAAAGGCTTTTGATACGGTACCTCATAAACACTTACTATGATCGTTTTGATCATATGTTAATGTGCTTAGTGGACAGGATTTGAAGCTTTTTAAGCTAATTAGCATATTACTTTTAAGTGATAGCCATGCTCTTAAACTTAGACTTCGTTAAAGTTGTTATTAAGAATGCATAAACTGTTAAAAGCAACTAATATTTACAATTTGAAAGCGACTAAAGCATGTATGTGGATGTTCATATATTTAGTAATATCTTAGACATTTGATCTTAAATGGAGAAAGACTTGGGGGTCATAGTAGACCATAGACTAAACAATAGCTTACAGTGCCAGGTTGCTGTAAGCAAAGCTAGTAGATTCCTGTCCTGTTTTAAGAAGGGAATGTTTTGCAGGGACAAGTCTATAATTTTGCCACTGTACACATCATTGGTTTGGCCTCACCTGGAGTATGCGGTCCAGTTTTGGGCACCAGTACACAGAAAGGATGTCCTGGAGCTGGAAAGAGTCCAGCGGAGGGCAACTAAACTCATTAAGGGAATGGAGGACCCTATTGTACACAAAACTGTTTTTTTTTGTTTCTCCTGTATCCCTTGTGTCCTTGTGTCTAGGTACCAAGCAAAAACTGTATCAAATTGTCCCTACACATTACCATAATTATCTTGATGTCTTCAGAAAACAGAAAGCAGACATTTTACCATCCCGCCCATACGATTGTCCTATTGAACTTTTGCCTGGTACCAAGATTCCATATGGAAGAATCTATCCCCTATCTGAGCCAGAACTGGAGACTCTAAAAGACTGGATAGAGGAAAACCTTAAGAAAGGATTTATTCACCCTTCTACATCGCCTGCTGGTATCTTCTTTGTTGAGAAAAAAGATCATACTCTTCGTCCATGTATTGATTATCGGGATTTAAATCAGATAGCTATTAAAGAACCAGTATCCGCTTCCTCTGATCCCTGAGCTTTTTCAGAGAGTCCGAACTGCTACAATCTTTGCCAAGTTGGACCTCAGAGGGGCTTACAACTAAGTCCGAATTCATGAGGGGGATGAGTGGAAGACTGCTTTTCGCACCCGTTTTGGGCACTTCAATTATTTAGTGATGCCCTTTGGCCTGTCCAATGCTCCAGCTACCTTTCAGCATTGTGTTAATAATAATATTCATAGACTTTCTAGATCAGTTTCTGATCATGTACCTGGATGACATCCTCATCTTCTTTTCTTCAAATGAATCCCATCATACACATGTTAAGCAAGTATTGGCCAGACTAAGCCAACATGTACTGTTCACGAAAGCCCCAAAAATGTGAATTTGAGAGACAAACCATTCAGTTTCTAGGGTTTGTTATCGCTACCAGTGGCATTGCTATGAACCCTCATAAAGTATCTGCTATCAGGGACTGGCCAGCTGCGTCCCTGATAGCAGTGGGTCCACACTATTTTGCAAACTGGTAATTTCTTATTACTTATGACTAATCTTGTCTTCCAGATTCGGCAAGCCAGTTCCAGGTACCCTGTTCCTCCAAAAACTGATCTTCAGGAAGAAATTTTCGTTCCCCAAGATCTCTGTTGCAAATACTTAAATATTGTCATGATTCTCCTCTGGCTTGTCATTTTGGGGTTCACAAGACTACTGAACTGGTGGCCAATCCTAGGGGTGGATTGTAA